ACCTTTCTAAACCTTTTCCTCTGTTCTCACAATTTCCAATGCTTCTCTCTCTCAGCTGAGTTTAACTCACATTACACAAGAAAAAAAAGTCTATTCACCAGAATGTGACTCCTACATCATCTTAGCATCCCACTCTCTCCTTGTTTTCATGGCTAAACTCCTTGGGAAAGTCATTTAAAACCAATGCTTTCACATCCTATCCTGTGTCACTCCTTCTCTCTCTGCCATTTGACTTCCTAACTCATTATTCAATTGAAACCACTCTTTCCAAAGTAACCAAATGATCTCGTCAAATATGGCATCCTTTTCTCAAGCCTTTTCCTTCTTGCCTACTTTGCAGCTTTTTGACAGGGTCAATCACCTTTCTCTCTAGGATTTCCTGATATTGCCCTCTCCCGTTCTTCTACATGGCTGACAACTCCTCAGATTCATTTTCTGGACCTTCAACTATAAGTGTCCACTGAGCCTCTGTCCTGGGCCCCGTTCTCTTGTCCCTCTATATCATTTCACTTGGTGATCTCATCAACTCCCCTGGATTAAATTACCATCTTGATGCTGAGGATTCACAGATGTATTCATCTAGACCTAACCTCTCATCTGATCTCCAGTCATGAAGAGGCAGAAAAGATGATGATACAAAAAAAAAAAAAAAAGAAAGAAATAATTACTTTCAAGAGAATGATCACAGAGGAAAGAAGTACTCTAGGAGTGTTGGAAAAGAACAACTGTTTTAATTTTTTTTTAAATGTTGGCAGGAATGCACAAGCTATAATCCAGTGATCTTGATTTTTATTCCTGGAAAAAAATTGCAGCAAGATCACTTTAGCCCACTTTCCTAGACTTCACTGATAATCCTTCAATGAGAAGTATGAGTTAATCCAGACTAAATCACATTAATGATCTCATTTTCTATTTTGATAGGGTTTTATAGGTTTTGGTAGGGTTACTATAGATAGGGTTACTGATAAGAGAACAAGAGAATGCAACAGACTTAGTTTACCTAGATTTTACAAAGCATTTTATAAAGTTTCCTGTTTTCTGAGTAAACCACAGAAATGAGAGAAAGGTAATATATACCTGCCAATTAGAACTTAGAATTGGTCAAATGATCAAGCTCCAGTAGGAGTCATTATTGGACTGTGAACTTGGAAGAATGTCTTTGGTGGAATGCCCCAGGGATTTGTGCTTGGGGCTAGTGATTGTATCATCAATAACTGATATAAAAGCACTGACAGAAAAAGAAAAGAAGAAAAGGAAAGAATATAAAAGTGGGAAGTGGTGCTTATAATAAAGGCTTTCATCATCCCAAGGGCAGAAGTGCCTTCCTTCTCAGTTATTGGAGACTTGACTTCTTTAAACTCCTTCCCTCAAGGGAAGAGCTTTTTTTGAACTGCTCTGCTCCCAAATTGGCCACTGCTACCTGTTTGAAAATTAAAGTAAGCCAGGGTATCTTATATACTAACATCTCAAGAGAAAAACGAAGGAAGAAAGGAAACAAGGAAGCAAAGGAAAGATGAATTAAAGAGGGGAAGAAGAAGGAACAGAAGAAGGAAAGGAGATTAGGAGTAAAGGAAGAAGAAAAGGAGGAAAGTAATGAAAAAGGAAAGAAAAAAGGGAGAAAGGAAGGAAATAAGCATTTATTAAAAAAAAAAAGACTACTGTGTGCTTGGTTCTGGGCTAAGCGTTACATGTATATTATCTCATTTGGCCCTCAAAACAACCCTTAGAGGTAGATACTACTATTATCCACATTTTACAGTTCAGGAACTAGAGTAAGACAGAGAAGTTAAATGACATGCCCAGAGTAACACAGCTAGTATCATGAGGCCCTGAATAGTATTGATTTTATTAATATAAAAAGATTTTATAGTAATAACATCATAATATTGCTATATATCATAATTATATACTCATTATATCATAATAAAAGTTTTATTGATATTTTCTGTTCCTAATTTTACCACAATTACTCCAAGTATCCTTGCCTCTCTCCATCCCAGAGAGCTATATGACAAATAGTATTTTTTAGAGAGAAATGGAGACTTCAGAGACTGGTGCTCCTAAGTAGGCTTTGATTCCCTCCTAGTAGATAATAGTTACCTAATCTTAAGATCAGAAAAAGTGGAGCTTGGACCTTGGTTGGCTTATTCAGACACTGGGGATTCTTTTGTCAGCCCTTTGGTAACATATATAATCATTTGGCAAAAAGCTTGCTTCAATGCAAATAAGATTGGAGCCTTCCTTTGTCTAAGTACCTTACACTTAGTAGGTGCTTAGGAGACTGACCTGATTAATCCATCTAGTGAGTAAACTCCATCTTCATTGTTTCTGAGGAGTGATACACTCAAAAGGGTTTCAGAATTAAATGTTAATTAAATGAGGGGATAGGCAGAGAACTGAGAGGCTTAACCTTCTGAGCTGAGGGGTGGTGATTGGTGAGGGTGAACAAAGGGATTTTTCTACTGGACCACTCATGATGAAGTTGGAATTCACACATTCTTTATATAAATGGAAAAGGAAAGAAGAAACTTAGCAGGAAAAGGCATATAAGAGGCCAGTACTGGCTCAGTTTGAGAAGTCTCTGCTAAGAGTCTTGATTCTAGTCGCAGCTGTGTTCCTGACTGAGAAACCTCCTACCAGGATATCCAGGGTAAGTTTTCTCTTGGGGAAATGCCTTTTTTTTCTTGCATATATGTGAAAACAGAGCTGGCCTTTTGAGGGGAGTTGGAGTCAATAGGGATTTAGGGTTTGCATCAGTGCTTGTGACATGGTCATAATTCCATGACCACATCAAGTTCTTATCTTGCCCAAACTTCAGTTTACTTATCAGTAAAATAGGATTTTAATGCCTTCAATATCTTTATTCACACAGTCCGTTAATATCAAATATCCAGAGACTAGCAATTAGGAGGTATGAGATTAATTTCATGATACCATTTAGATCAGGCCCACTTAGAAGGGGAGAAATGTCTTGTTTCTGGCTCTTGGTTATGTTGGTCTGGGTTGTCTTGGCTAGGGAGTCCATATGGGTGTAGCTCAATTCTTGGAGAAGTCCTGAGCTAGAAACAAAAAGACATTGGAGTGATCCAGCACTAACTGCTTTCCTTGCTAGGACCAACCTGTAGACTCAGTGGGCAGCCAGTCAGTTAACAAACATTTAAGCACTTACTACGAGCTAGGGCTAGGCATTTTGCTAAGTTCAGGGGACATGACCAAGGAGACTGAGAAGAAATCAGACAAAGCAGATCTAGGAGAGAATATCACAACCTTTAGAGCAGCAAGTGGTTTTTGTTTTTTTTTAATTTTTTGTTTTGTTTTGTTAAGAATGGGGAATTCATGAGTTGGTTTACAGGTAGAATGCAAGGACTCAGTAGACAGGCAGAAGCTGAAGATTAGAGAGAACTGAGATAACAGAATGAACAATCTATTGTAGAAGAATAGTCTTGTTATCAAAGATACCAACAGGAGGATTTCCTTTGGCAAGAAGATTGGCCACCTCTTGATAGATACCAGGTGAAGGAACACTGGGGGGAAACATCTAATTGATAGGAGATGAGAGGGAAAGAGACCTGTCCAGTGGCTTTTTTTTTTTCAGTTAAACGTGAAACAAAATCCTCAACTGAGGGGACAGAGAGGAGGGGTATTGTGGGAGGTTTGAAAGTGAATAAAAATGTTTGTAACTGCCACTGTGATCAATGGGAAACTAAATAGATTAGGTAAATTTAAAAGGATTGCCTTTCTGCAGGAAGGGCCAAGTTGAGATTATATAACACCAAGTTACAATGAACTCAGTGAAATCAGTTTTGCGACTTTCTCAGCTTCATTGAGCAGTACAAGAATAGGAGTAAAATTGGGAGCCGTGGTTAGAGAAACCCAAAGGGGGGGGGGGGGGTTTGACAAGGCATGACCTGCCACAGGACAAGGGGGCAAGCATTCAAACATAAAGGATTAGGTAATGAATGTACTTGAACTTCTAACATTCCTTGAACTGAGCTGGCAGTCTCTGCTCATTCAGTTCTTAAAAGCCTCCCCAAACTCCTCTACTAGGCCTTCTTGTAGCCAAGCAGAAAGCTTTTCTCTAGCACAGATGTGTATGTTCTCCCAATATTGCAGTCTAGTGGCCATGAAGGTCATCTTGGCTTCCTGGGGCCTCTTCTCCCAGCTGTGTAGATCCAAGCACTTGATATCCAGTAACTTGAGCCAAGACATTGGGGAACTCAGGTGGCAAAGTTCCATATTGTACAAGGGGACACTTTCCTATACAAGCAGATCTACTGTGATGCTGACTCTAAGATTAAAGGAAAATCATAGACCTGGAGTTCTAAGAGGTCAAAAACATTTAGAGACATTTAACTAATAAGGAATTGAGAGGTAGCCAGAGAGATGACTTGCTCAAGTCCACACAGTAAACGGCAGAGCTAGATTCAAATCCACTTCTTCTGACTCTGAAGCTCTTTTCCAATGCAATACACTGCTTCTATTGATTGGTTTCAGTGAATTCACAGGTAGGCAAGCATTCCACAGAGCAGGGTATTCTCCACTACCAACTGACTGTTAGGAAGAGGTAAGACACTTCCTCCAACATTTTTCATGTTAGGCTCTTTCTGAATTGCTTTAAAGCAACACAGAAAGAAAATATAATAAAGGGCTTTTTTAAATTAATTAAAGACCTTAAAAGTAATTCAAAAGTAATGATAATTGTATTTAGTTCCTTTATACCATGATATTTGACACAGGAGTTTTAATGCAATTTTGAGACCATTTGCCCCTACCTTTTCTTGAGATTATCCACTCTCTATTTCTTCCCTTCCACAGTTCAGTTTCCGGGAAAAAAGGAACACACAGTAGTTGCCTCCACTTTCTCAACCTGGAGGCTATGTTGAAGCTAACACTTGGAGAATCGGTAGAAAGAAGCAAACACATTTTGGAAATGGGAGAGAAGGAAGAATTGCAGACAGAGAGTAAATCAAGAAGCCAAACTAAATATAATGAAGCAATACCTTCAGGCTTCCTTCTGGCCCAAGATCTGGCCATGTCATGTTCAAGTGACACCAAAAGCAGTGCACATCAATATGGTTCCGATAAAGAATTCTTCGAGCTTTGTTTCCCAGTCCAAATTATCCAAGGACAATTCGAAGAAGTAAAAGACTCCTTTGTGTGCTCCACATTCCCACCTGCATCCCAGGCTGCTGAAGATGATGGTGAAGACAACAGCACTGATGACAGTGGTGATGGCAGCAAGGGTACTGACAACCATGATGATGATGATGACCAAAGTTCCAACAATCATGATAGCAATATTGATATTGAGAACCATGATGTTACCTGCAACAGTGTTGGGGGCAGAACTGATGACAACGGTGAAGGCAGAAATGTGAATGGTGACAGCCTTTTTGATAAAAGCATTACTGATAGAAACCATAAGGATAAAGACAATAACTCCAGTAATGGTGATAGTCATGATGACGATTATATAAAAAGTCAAGAAATATTGATAACCATTCTGATGCTGACACTACTGCTGGTGGTGACAGTGATGATGATGCTGACTGTGACAAACCACACTGAAAATATAGTAATACCAATGGCAGTGACAGTGATAGTGATAGCAATAATATTAATGCTATAAAACCACTGACAATGGTGATATCCGTGATTAGGACACTCTACCAACAATTACAACAATGGCACAGGCATGAAACAGACACAGAACTGACAGACTGATAAAAATGGTGACAGAGACACACTAATGACATTGTTATGTCACTCCTGAGCTAGTTCTCTAATGACACTTACCTTTTTACCTAGTTTTTTTGGTACCACCTGAAAAAAAGGCTGTTAGACACATTTTTTGGTCATAAGAGTATTCTCCTTCTACCTTCAACTTCTTTGGAATTGCCTAGTTAGAGGTATTGATCCAACTTTATCAAGAAAACATGAATGGGAACAACCACAAAACCATCAAAATGAATGTTGCAAAATGACAAAGAACAAGGATACCCTGAAGAAGAGAGATGTCACAACCCCAGTCCTTGGCAAAGGTGGGAGGTCCATGGGTGTGGCACATTGCATATTTTACAGATGTTTACAATGAACTGATGAATTTTGCCAAATTTTTTCATCTTTCCCATTTTTTCACCTTTCCTTTCATGTTTTCCCTCTGTAAAATAATATTTGTTGTATGGTATGACTCTTGTGGAAGATAGGGGGAAAATATTAGAAAAATACTGGTAATGGAAAAATGAGAAAGATATCAATAAAATCTGTGTCTAAAAAGTATGGATGGCAATCTGAATCTATGCCAATTCTGTGTACAGACAGTTCTCATTTTACATAAATGGACCATTCTGCAGACCTCTACATAAAATTATTTATGCAATGCAGATTTGTCCCCATCTATCCCCTTATTTAGCCTATATGATAAAAGAATACACAAAATACCTTTATGCGAGTAATAAAATGTGACAAATGAAAACCCCAATAGAGTTTCTGGGTAATTAACAATCAATTTCTTAATTGGCTAGCCAGAAACCAGTAAGTTGGACATTAGTTCTGGTCAGTGGTTTTTCTCAGTAATCAAAGATGCAAAGGAAGACCCTGAAATGCCTTAAATCTCTTCTAAAAATCAACCCTGATTAGTGAATGATGGGGTGCTTGTGCTCAGACCCCAATTCTCTCACTCCCCCTCTCTCTCCCCTCTCCTCTCCCTGGTGCAGTAACAAGCTGATCCTATAAGAACCACTACCATGGCTTATCTTGCTTAACAGGACATTGCCATGGTAACAGACAGGATGGCCTTGACCACCTAATTAGCATACTTGCCACACTACTCACTGTACTAGGTTGCAAGTTCCCTAAGAGCTCTGCCCGCCTTTATTAGTGTTATAAACTTTTTTGCCACTTGACTAGGAGACTGCTTGAGTCTCCGAATTTGTTCCAGACAACTCTGCCCTGTACCTCAGTATTTTGGAGCCCCTACATCCCTAAAATCACATCAATGAACATTTAATGAGGTGAGCTAATAGTCTTCAGCTCTTTCTGCTGAGAATATGGCTTGATCACTGAGACTCAGCAGCCTCAAGGTATCTGGGCATGGGAAGCCATCTCCATCTGTCCCTCTCTGGCTAGTTTTCTCCTTCATCAGCTGAGATACCTTAAACTGTAATGGAGGGGACCAAGGAAAAGGTATGCCTCCTCCAGGCAAACACTGGCCCAGACTGGATTCCATTTATATTCTAAACAGAAATTAGGTCTCCCAGTTGGGTGGGATCCCATCCACCTAGTTAAAGAGCATGTGCCTTGGGGGCTAGAAGCAAATCTCATCACTCAGTCATGCTTTTCAAAAGCTGAATGACTTTTCCAGGACATGGGTTCGAAAACTTCTAGGAATATTATTGCCAAATTCCAGAGTTCCCAGGTCAAGGAGAAAATATTGCAAGCAGCCAGAAAGAAACAATTCAAATATTGTGCAAACAATCACAGTAACGCAAGCTTTAGCAGTTTCTACATTAAGGGATCAGAGGTCTGGAATATAATATTCTGGAGGTCAAAGTGATGAGGATGTGATCTAGACCCCAGAAAGGAAAAACCCTGGACTTTCCCACAAGGTCAAATCTCTGGCATTCCTTTGAGGCTATAATCCCATCAACTGGCCTTTCATTGTGGCTACACCCAACCTCTGTTACTCTTCCCTATGGCCCCCAGCCATTTCCCACCTTTAATCCTAACTAGGCTCCATTCTCCCTTGGCCTCCTGGTCCAGGTCCCAGGAGTTCTGTTCACCCCAGCTTCCTGGTCACTCCCATCTAGATCTCCTTAGACCCCCCCCATCCCTCCCACAGTCTTTCTGTATATAAAGTCCATCTTGTCTCCATTAGGGTGCTCAGATTCTTAAAATCTATCCACTGCTCACTCATGTTCTAATAAACCTTGTCTTTGGTTGAAAGAAGGCTTGAGTTGAATTCTTTAGGCAGAACCCATGTGTCCTGATCTTGGGGTGCCAGCACCCCTAAAGCTCTAAACCTCATCATAAGGTTCCCTGCACCTGGAAAAACTGCTCTTCACCAGCCGAGACTTGAAGGTATGTAAGCCTCCCTCTTCCCCTAATCCCTTTTTTGGCCCTGCAATTGAGTGGATTTCCAAGCAATTAGGAAGGCTTGGCTTTGTTGAGATTTAGAGGTTTAGGGGTGCTGGTGATGGGGTTGGGATCTGGGCCCCAGAAAGGAAAAACCCTGGACTTTCCCATTGGGCCAAATCTCTGGCGTTCCCCTGAGGCTATAATCCCATCAACTGGCCTTTCATTGTGACTACACCCAATCTCCCCTCCATTGTCTTGCCTTCCTATGGCCCCAGGACACTTCCCACCCTTGGTAATACCATTACATCATGGACTACTTGGCCACTCCTAGATCCCTCCCACAATCTTTCTGTATATAAGCTCCATCTTGTCTCCATTAAGATGCTCAGATTCTTATAATCTAGCCCCTGCTGAGATTCTTATAATCTAGCCACTGCTTACCCATGTTCAGACTCCTTAAGAGTCTACCCAATATGCCAATGTTCTAATAAACCTTGTCTCTGGATGAAAGAAGGCTTGGCTTGAATTCTTTCGGGCAGGACCCGCGTGTTGTGATATTGGGGTCTCAGCACCCCTAAACCTTTAAACCGCATCATTTTGGTGGCCCATATGGGAAACTGCCTAACCCTAAATTCTTCTCCAGTCAAGACTGGAAGGTATGTAAGCCCCACCTCCCCTTCTTGCTCTGCAGTTAGGGTTGCTCTCCAAGCACCAAGGCTTAGAGGCGCTTTTCAGGCAGACAGTCATGAGGCTGTCTCCCACTCAGCCTGACCCTCTCAGGCTCTTTCTTGGTCCACTGGGTCAGTTCGAAGTCATAGACATGGGTATACCTTCAGCAGCACAGAGGACAAGGACGGATGCCCTATCCAGAAGCATATGCCCAATTCTGTCAGTTCTCTTGGCGCTAGAGAATAGGGAGAAAACTGCAGTTCCTTTTTGGTTTCCTGAGGCTTACTTATTCCCTTCCCTATACACCCCTGAATACTCCTTCATGGAGGTTACAGGGAAAAGTCAGAACAGCTAGAAATGTCTTGGCAGATTCTGGAGGTTTTGTGATTGATGATTTTGCAGCTCCTCCTTACAACAATGGTCACTCCTTTCTCCCACTCCCTTCTCTTGAGTCAAGAGAGTTATCTGTTAACCCCTCTCATATGAGAAGAGAGTTTCACCTTTCACTCACCTTTGATTTCACCCTCCCCCACCTGGGAAAGGAAGGAGGGGTGAGGGGCAGCAGCTACAGCATGGGCCTCCCTGGCAATGGGCTTGGGCCCTAGGGCAACCTTTGCCTGGAAGCATCACCCAGGTTCAGCATATCCTGCTCAAGGTAAAGAAGCTAGCCTTCGAACTTGGGTAAGCACTCTCTTTTAAAATTTAGTTTTAACTATTAATGATGAGATGTTGACTCTCTGTGTAAATAATTTGGAAATGAATTTAACAATATAACAAAACTGGAGTCACCTGACTGATAATGGGTTTGTTTCAAGTTTCAAATTGGTGAACTTGTTGTATCAGTTATGTGAAGTAACTTTTCATAATTTGGTTACGGCTAAAATAATTTGGCTATTGTTGGTTATTGTTTTAATGTGCAAACTTACCAAAAAGCCTGTTTGGGTTTTGTCTTGCTAAGAATTTGCAATTACATAGAAATCACAAACGAACGATTGGCTTTTTACACCAGGACGAATTTAAATTTAAGATGTAAATCCTGGAAAAGTTTATCCTAAGCTATGATTAATGAAACTTGCTGTTTGAGGTAAAAGCTCCTAGGATTTTATTTTGAGTTGTCTGAAGGATCATAATCCATCCATAATCAATAATCCACCATCTGAGAGAAATGCCACAAGCTACTCAGAGAAGGTGATACTGATGGGAAGTCAGCAATGGGGAAAGCTGAGAGGACAATTTTAGCCTCAGTCTAAGATTGGATCCTCCTGGCTCAGTTTCCCCATTATGTTCCTGTGAAAAGGAATATTACCCATCTGGCTATTCCTGAGTCTGGCTATGAGGTGGATTTGATAATTGCATGGTGGGAAAACTGAATTATTTGAATCCAAAGAGAGCTAAGGATGTTTTATCCTCTAAAAGTTGGGCCCTAAATCTAGTCCCTGCTTTATATCTGGGCTCTGCAGTCTTCTCTGTCAGATTTGTGTCTTCCAGACTACAGGCCATTCACCTAGAGATGGTAGCAAACATCAAATACCAGCCAATGTCTATTGTTCTCTGGATGCAGCCTGTGCTCAGTTCCAGGTAACCTCCTCTTTGAGACCCCCTCGAGGCAGGGACAGCTCTACGCCCCTTGCCAGCAGGAAGCAGATTGAGAAGACAAGACCTTCGCCCCTTACCCCAAAACAATTTGGGTCCCATTTGTTTGAGGGGGGAATGATGAAGATGGGATCTAGACCCCAAAAATGAAAAAACCTGGACTTTCCCACATGGCCAAATCTCTGGCTTTCTCCAGAGTCTATAATTCCATACCTCCCTACGGCCCCAGGCCACTTCCCACCCTTAATCCTATCTACTCTCCACTCTCCCTTGGCCACCCCTGGAGTTCTATTACCTCATAGACTACTTGGCCACTCCTAGATCCCTCCCATAGTTTTTCTGTATATTAGGCCCATCTTGTCTCCATTAAAATGCTCAGACTCTTATGATCTAGCCACTGCTTATCCATGTTCAGACTCCTCAAAAGTCTGCCCAATATGACAATGTTCTAATAAACCTTGTCTTTGCTGAAAAGGCTTGGGTTGAATTCTTTTGGGCAGGACTCGTGTGTAATGAAAGCAAAGAAGACTCACAGTGGATACTAGTTACCACACTGACTCTAGTCAGTTAGTAACTAGCCTTTTTTTTTTTTGATGAGGCATTTGGGATTAAGTGACTTGCCCAGAGTCACACAGCTAGTTGAGTGTTGCATGTCTGAAGACACATTTGAACTCAGGTCCTCCTGACTCAAGGGTCAGTGCTCTATCCACTGCACCTCAACCAGCCTTTATTAAAGTGCTTACTATGTGCTAGACACCTTGCAGCCTTGGTCTTTCAACTCCTCCTTAATATTATGCTGTATCTCAAGATAGATCTGGGGTGTGAATCAATGTGATAGAACAAATTTCAAGAATAAGGACATTCTCTTCTTCCTCTTCCTTTTTTTCCCCCATCTTTTAAATTCACTGTTATGATATAGGGACACAGGAAGGGTCATAGAGAATTCTATGTGATGTTAAAAGAATAAGGGCATCTCAGATTTTTACAATACAAGAATAAGGTTATTCCAATTCCTTCAGGTGCCACAAAAATAAAAAAGGAAAATACATCTATATCAAGAAAAAAAGAGAAGACATCCTTACCTATATGATGCTTTCCATCCAAATGGGGAGACAACTAATCTTTATAAGACAAGCTATAGGATAATCAAAGGCAAAATTATACAAGCCAGACTGCCAGACTAAATGCTTTGGCAGTTCAGTAAAAGGCTGTCACCAAGAAAAGCTCTGAGATAGATAGGACATCCCTGCCAACAACAAAAGGCAATTATTCCCCAACAAGCAAGTTAGTACCTCTAAGGGCCTGGCCCACAGGCTCTAGGCCACAGGGATCATATTAAGAAGGAATTGGCTGAGAGAAGTGACTTTTACTGTAGGTGTCCTCAGAGGCTAGACAGTTAACTAATTGAAAGAAATGGCTCTTAACCCTTAGATTGGCACTGACCCAGGATATGGTTCATCTTGGGATAGAAAAGGGTAAAATTAGTGTTTTCTCTGGTTGTATTCAATGTTCAGCAATCAGGATCAGGGCCCATTTTTTTTTTCAGGGCCCATTTTGCCTCTGTTAGGAGGTGCCACTTTCTGCCAGCATATACCTAGCCCTTTACCTGGCAGCAGAAGCTTTGCCTGAGGATGACATGCTCACATATCCAAATGGAAAAGCAAACTCTCTGCTTCATGAGAAATCCCAGAGTTCTCAGACAGGAAGACCTGGGATTGGAAGGGGAGATGGGGCGATAGGGTAAAGGGGAGGGAGAGACTGTATGCATTCATTTGGGAAAAAATAAACAGCCTGGCAGAGCAGAAAACTCTAAATTGAGAATTGGCTTTCATCTAGATCGTCTGCCTTTGCCCCTCAGAAAAAACACTGGGTTTGGAATCAACAAGGCCCTCAATTTAATCAACAGCTCTGCTACTTACTACCTCATTGACTTTAGACAAGTCACAGCCTCTGGGCCTCCTCAGTTTCCACATCTGTAATATTTTTAAGTTATCTTCCAGATCTAAATGTAATATCCTGTGTAACTTCTGGCCTTGAGTTTGTAAATGCTTATGTAAGGGTGGGGATAGAAACGCCCAACCTAATTAATATGGAATAGAAGGTCAAGACTTCTAAATTGAATCAATCAGTCAAGTCATAGCAAAGCTGTAAACCAGGCATGGACTTAATCATTTTAGATGAAGTGCTTGATCACTGAATAAAATCAGAGAACAGCTCTGAAATGCAAGAAATGCATTTAAACTGGTTGAAAGCATCAGACCTATCTCTGGGCCTATGTATATTACAACAGCAGATTCTAGCAGCAACATGCCTGTGGCAAGCCAATCTAGTGGTGGCCAAGGGGATAGACTTCTTCCCCACACATCAATAGTCCCTCCAACCCACCTTGACCAGAGAACCTTTTGGACTTCAAAAGGTCAGAAGACCTGGACTTCCCTTCCATATCAGTAGCCATGACCCCAGAGCACCAGAGACTGATGGCAATTTCTGCACTGGAAGCTGAAAGATAGGATAAGAAGTAAGTCAGACTCAAAAATGGCAGCTTCAGGATACTACAAGGACACTGATCCTCCCAGCCCAGCATAGAGTCACATCAAAGGGGAACTTCATGAGGAGTCCACAAAAGGCGAAAGGACTTGGAATAGCCCAAGCCACGAGTGACCCTCTGGTTACATGTGCTCTCTAAATTTGAACCCACTCTCCCAGGGACCTTGTGTGTGGGAGAGAGTGCTCTTGCTTAGGAAGAAAACTTCCTACCACCTCTTCTTCACAGACTATTTCATTAAGTATTCCCTTTGTCAAAGCTAACTCTAGCTAGCTAATTGATAATCAGTGGGGAGCACTTAGCTCATGAGTCTTAATATTAATTAGTTAACAATTAGTAATGATTAATAACCCTCAGTCAGCTGCCCTCTGGGGTTCTAGCCTGCCAAAATGCATGGGAATTAAGCCAGAAGTGGGAAAAGGGTGCTACATATCTCTCTGTCAGGGTCATCTCCTCTGATAGAATGTAAGCTCCTTGAGGACAGGGTCTGCTTCTTGCCCTTGTATCTCCAGTGGTTAGCACACTCCCACACATTCATTTAATATATATTCACTTAATAAATGCTTATTGTTTGACTCACTTACCTTCTGAGCACCTGTTTTCTCATTTATAAAATAGTATCTAGCCAGGAGGAAATAGGGAAAATATTTACTTTCTGAATGTCATACTTCATTTCAGCAATAAAGTTGGCAATTCTATAACCGTAACAAAGAGCCTTCTGGGCACCCAACCGGCAAAGGTGAGTGCAGGTCCAGGGAGTGGACCCAGAAGGGGTGCTACACTTATTTGTACAGATTATGGCTAAAATAGAATACAGACCATTTTCTTCTGCAGCTGTAAGAAACTTCAGAGCCTAACACAAGCCTTACCAGAAGCATGAACTCCCCCCCCCCATAACACTCTCAAGGCTTATATAGATTAAGAAACATGACAGCTGGCTGCTCAAAGGTATAAAGGCCTTATGCTGGCCCTTAAGCTTACCTATGCGCTTCAGTGCCAAGTGTGCTACAGAGCCAAGCAGACCATAGATCATTCTTTTACATGAAATCCCTTCTACCACTTGACAGTAAGACAAACTCTAAATATGAAGAAAGGCCCTATACCCACGATTAGGCCTTAAAATATTGTCTTGAATTAAGAACACACTGCCTTCTAAGACATGTAGATGAAATTAAAGGGGTAGTAACATAATGCTAAATAATAAGTCTGTGAGGAAAATACAATTATCCTCATTTTATACATAAGGAAAGAGGCTGAGGGTGGTTACATGACTTGCCTAGGACTACACAGATATTCAATCAGCTCTTCATGACTACAAGTCTATCTCTATAGATATTCCCCAAAGCAAGTTCTTTCTTATGTTCTACAGAAAAAATTCTTAACCTGGGGGCTGTGTTTTAAAGAACTGATAATTTTATTTCAATAACATTTCAATAATTGGTTTCCTTTTTAATCTTGTGTGTTTTATCTTCTGCATTTAAAAACATTCTGAGAAGGGGTCCATGGACTTCACCAGACTGTCAAGCGGTCCATGAAAGAAAAAAGGTTAAGCAGCCCTGCTCTAAAGGGCTGTGCTGTACCCTTTGGGGGAATGTTGTATTGGGTAGCATTTTTGTGACTGTGAGGTAATAGAAAAACAATGTTGATACTACCTACTTGTTTCCCATCTCCTACCTCAGGCTTAGAGAAATTGGACATGTAATTGGTTCATTTATCCTATAGCAACATGGGTGAAGCCTGCCATGCCACCAAAATACTTCCTAGCCAGAAGACTGTGATCATTGCAACATAAAATAAACAATTTGACCTAAGGTTAGCAAATACCAATTTTATGTTGAGGGACTTCTGAAAGAGATGTTATTCTTATCTGGGGATAAATGGGAGCCCAATGTTGTGGCTTAGGGCTCAGGACCTAGAGAGGATCATGGTTCAGACTAGCTTTAAAGGACTTTAATTAGTTTAGAAAGCTTAGGTACCAGTCTAAGATTAGATAGATTCCTTTTATATACACTTCTAATTACCCTAGTATATTATTTCCAATCTTCAAATTCCCTTTTCAGGTAGAGGTCACTAGCTTTCCCTGCAAACACAAACTTAATTGACCCAACTCTGTTTACTTTCCTCTAATATACCCAAGGTTGGTAGATTAGATACCCCAAATAAACATCAGTGTCCACAAAACACAAGGCATTGCAGAGATAGAAAACATTCTTTGCTCTTGAGGTAAAGAAGACTCATATATATGAATACCTATGATATAAACTAGAATGCACTAAGTTGTCCTTCTGGGAGGGATGGCTGACTATTACAACATGTAAATATCAATTCTGGATGGGGAGAGGAGGGTTCGAAGAGAACCTAGAAAAGGAAAACTGATCAAATCAAACTCGGAAGAAGCTTCCCCACTTAGTCCAATTTTTAGTCCTATTACTTTGTATTTATGTACCACTTTCTGTATTAAGTACTCTGACCTCACTCCTCCAGAGCAAAGCTGGCTACACCCCCCTCCCCTATTCTAGGAATACCCTGAGGGGTTTGGATATCTCTTCTAATTTTATCAGCACATGACCTTTTCTGGATGTGTTTATCCCCTCTGTCAGCACCAGTGATTAGCACTCTAGTTCCACTTAACCAATTAGCATCAATTAGCTTTCACAAAGGAATATTTATTTCAAAGATATAGCCAAAACAGAAGTACAAACATTTCTCTCCCAAAACTTGAGGGGCACACTTTCCCTTATATTACCCCTATTTCTGGGGAGAGTGGGCCCAGATAACACAGAATAACCTTGGTCCCACCAAGTTCACATACAAATGCAATATCGATGGTAAATGAACTCTCTGCCTCAGCCACTACTGAGTGAAGGTCACTCACTGTTCCATGAGGCATCACTGCAGGGTTAACTGCAAACTTCAGCATGGACCTGACTCCCAGAGTTTCATATTCTCTGACCCTGGGTGGTTCATTCTCCTGACCTTTCAAAATTCACAAGAACATGGCTTCCAACTTCCAGCTAGGTGGTGCAGAGGATAGAGTGCCAGGCCTGGAGTCAGGAAAAGTCATCTTCCTGGGTTCAACTCTGTTCTCAAATACTTAATAGCTGTGTGATTCTGGGCAAGTCACTTAACCCTGTTTGCCTCAATTTCTTCCTCCGGTAAAATGAGCTGGAGAAGGAAATAGCAAACCATTCCAGCACCTTTGCCAAGGAAACCCCAAATAGGATCGCAAAGAGTCTGATACAACTAAACAACTTGAAAGAAGTCAGAAAAGCTAGGAGGCAGAGCATTCTGGACGTGGAAGATTGCTAGTGTAAAGACATACAGTCTGGAGCCAGTGCCATATGCAAGGAAGACCAAGAAGGCCAGCGTCACCAGATTGTAGATTACATGGAGGGGAGTAAAGTATAAGACTGGAAAGGTAGGAAGGGGTCAGGTTGTGAAAGGCTTTAAAGGCCAAAAAGAGGATATTACATATTATCCTATAGGTGATAGAGAGCACAGTGCCTGGCATATAATAAACACTTCATAAATGCTTATTTCCTCACACATCATTCAGCAGTAAGTAAATCTGAGGAAAGGTAGAGTTGGTCAGAGTAATCCAAGCTTGGGGCTTGGCAATGTGTGATGGTTGTTATGGTAGGGAGGTATTGGATTCAGTATAGAGGATAGTGTTGAGTTGAACTCATCCACCAAAAAGTCAAGAAGGTGCAGGGAGAAAAGTGTAGCCAATGTAGGGGTGAGAATCCTTCCAAGGCTACCTTCCATCTAATTTGTATTTCTCTTGTATCTGCTGATTAATATAAATTGTCTCCCCCATTTAAATGTAAGCTCCTTAAAGGCAGGGTGGGTTTAAAGGTCACTCAGACATTCAGTTCATCAATATTTATTACTCTTACATAGTACTTAATAAATCTTATTGATTCAAACTTCATAATACTATTAACACGGTCCTTAAATTAACCCAACTCCAAGTGCAAAAAAGTCTACAGAGCAGGGTTTGTTTGTGTGTGTGTGTACTTACAGGCTGAACTGAATAATAAATAGCTAACATTTATACAGCATTACTATGTTCCAGGCACTAAGTGCTATTATTATTAACTCATTTGTTCCTTACAACAACCCTGGAAGGTGGGTGCTATTATTATTCCCATTTTACAGACAATGAGTCTGCAGCAAACAGAGGTGAAGTGACTTGCCCAGGGTCACACAGCTAGCTAGCGTCAGGAGCTGGATTTGACCCCAGGTCTTCCTGAGTCCAGGCCCAGTGCTCTATGAAATGAACTGAACTGAATTAAAGTTGGAGAATTCCAGACTGGATTTAACCAGACTTCCACGAGCATGCTAGGATGCAAACGGCAAACCGTGACCAAAAAGTACTTGGTGGGCGGCCACATTTCCAACGACATTTGTCCCTTTAAAGTGTTATAATTAATAGCTCACGCTGACGGGGTGCTTTGAGGCCGCAGCACGCTCGGACGTGTCTTGCCCTCCGTTCACCCCTCGTACACGAGCAGTTTCTCGGCCTCTCCATCTCCCGCCTCTGCGCCAGGTACACGGCCAGAGGCTCATTCGCAAGGCGCGGGCTCCCCCAGGCGGCCTCTGCCTCTCGGTACAGCGCAGGCCGGGCGCGGCCCCGGCGGGAGCCCGGGAGGCGGCCTCCCCGGCTCCGCGGCTGCTTGTTTGTCAGCGCGCTCGTCCCCGGGGCCTGCTCCGGCTCATTAGCCGAGCTCCCCTCCGACCCCCCGCGGGGCCGAAGGACTAATGAGGCCCGCGAGGCCCGGGCTCCCTGGCTAGAGAGCAGGCGGCGCGGCCCAGTCGCCATGACAACGGCACAGCCAACCCAGCCAGGTTAGCGGCGGTGCCGTAGGCCGCATAACTTGGGCCCACAGCCTAAAGAGTGAAAAGGGGACACCCCGCAGCTTTTGGGTACCTCCAGTATCACCAAAAAAAGTCTGGTCAAGGGGCAGCGTCCCATAAGGCCTAGCGTGCTGCCGAGACGTCCGCGCTGAGACAGAGAGGTCGTCGCAGCAAGGCATTATGGGCCATCTGGGGGGACATTCGCAGTCCTCCGAGTCCACTCTGGACCCCAATGACCCTGTGCACTTCTCTGCCCCACGCCCCCCCATCCTCCCGGCCAGTTCATCCCGGAGGCAGACCCGCAGGGCAGAGACCAGATACTCAGGCCCTTAACCTAGCGCTGCCCTTAACTAACCTTGGGCATGGCCTTTGGGTCTCAGCATTCTGGTCTAGAAAATGGGGCAGATGGACTAGGTGATGGCCAGATTACCGTTTTCTTACTGGGATAGTCTATAGCTCTGGTATTAGCCACCCAAGTGCTTTTCAGACCTGAAAGCTCTATATAAACGCTAGTTGTCATTATCATTGTTACCTCAAGAGAAGTGCAATGCCTGGTATTTAGTAATGCTTGAATCCTTGCTGAATAGGATGGGGATGGAGAGGGGTGGAGAGAAAGCCTCATTGATGAGGTTATTCAAAAATACAATACACGTTATTCCCAAAAAAGTAGAGTACTGAATACGTGGAAAGAACTCTGATTTAGGATCAGAGCACCTGGGTTCAAATCCCTCCTATGCTTACTACTACCTGTGTGACCTTGAGAAAATCAACCTCCCTGGGTCTGTTTCCTCAACTGTAAAATGAGTGAGTTACAGCTGTTTATGGCAAAGCTGTTTATCTAGAGGGGTTCTTAATTTGGGACCCATGAACATAAAAAAACATTTTTTAATAACCATTTCAATTGCTTTCCTTTGTAATCGTATGTATTTTATTTATGCATTTAAAAACAGTATTCTTTGAGGAGTCTGTAGGCTTCACCAGACCGCTAAAGGGGTTCGTAATACAAAAAAGGTTAGACTAGATGATCTTTGGGGTCCTATCTAGCTCTCGGTGTGCGATCCTCTAAAAGACCAAATAATCCAAACACACATTACACAATCCAAAAACACTGGATAATCCAAAATTACCTCTAGCGGACTGATTTGGGGCTGCCTTGTGATTTCTTTTTATTCTTTTCCTTGCTGATTTCCTTTCCCCAATTGCCCCTCAGCCCAGTGTACCTAGAAATCTCTTTTTTTGCTCTGGGGACCTGGGCAAGCATTTATAATAAGTATTATGTACGATATGCAGGGCCTCGGTTTCATCTGCAAAATAGGGACAATTATAGCCTTGTAGAAGTGAAAGTTTGCAGGAACTTCAGGGATCATCAAAAACAGGGGTTCTTTTTGTGTTATGGACCCCTTTGGCACTCTGGTAAAGCCTATAAACCCCTCACAGAGTACTGTTTTTAAATGCATAAAATAAAATACATAAGATTACAAGGAAACCAAATGAAATAGTCATTAGAAATAAATTTTTTTAACTTCGTGGGTCCCAAGTTAAAAAGCCCTCTAGATAAACAGCTGTACCCTTCCATCCCACATTATATAAATAAGGAAATTGAATGCCAGAGATGTTAATTTTTTTTTTTTAACAAAAAATCACACAGTACAGAGCAAGGACTTGAACCCAGGTCTGGCTCCTTATTCAAGGATTCTTTCCTGTGTAGCTCACCCACCTTCCTTGTCCCATTGTGTCTTTGTGATTATCCATAAAGACACTGAGTCACTGATTATAAAGTATTTTGTGAGAGGGGAGGTTCCATGGGCCTAATTAGGGGAGCACCTGCAGGAGCTTTATCATTATTATTATTATTATTAATAGCATTTATATTAGCACTTCAAGGTTTGCAAAGTGCTTTACAAATATTACCTCCTTTTATACTCAAAACAATCATGAGAGGTAGATGCTATGGAAACTGAGGCCTTCAGAGGCAAAGGGACTTGTTCAAGCTCCCACAGTTAGACAAGAACATGCTTAGGCTAGAAAATAAATCTCTGGACTCCTGACCCTAGCTTGGACACCAGTTGCGGGGTGGAGTATCAGAAGGGGGAGCGTAGTTCATGGATGCAGCGTGGAATAAAGGGGTGCAGTGGGTGATGTTGGCCCCAAACACAGTATCTATGTCAAGTCACTGCCCCAGGGCCTGGGGATAGGACCCTAGGTGGCATGAGAGGGAAAGATGGAGAAAAGATGGGTCCTTGGGAGGGGAGGAGAACAGGCTTTGAGCTCAGACTCTTGTAAGGTACTAGCCAGGCTTGACCTAGATTTAAATTCCCAGTGTGACACTGGTTTGCTTTATGAACTTGGGTAAATAACCACTTTCCCTGAGCTTGAATTTACCCAGATGTAAAAGGGGAAAACAATTTTATGCTGCCTACCTCATGAGGTGTCTGTCAGGAAAACACTTTGTAAACATTAGAGAAATATGAAGCAGTAGAGAAATAGGAGTTAGCATCATCATTTATTTATATGTGACAGGTTTATTTATTACCCCTCCACAAGCATGTCTGTGAGCTCCCGTATAACCTACCAATCTCCACCTCTGCCCTGGTGACTCCCCAAGTCCTACACATCTCTGAAGCCCCACATCCTTCTCTTCCTCCTCCAAGAGGCCTTCCTGGTACACCTCCATGTGGTAACCTTGTCTCCTTCCTGTGAGTCTAAACCCAATGATGGCTCCAGAGGCAGCACCGTGTAGCCAAAGAAGCGCTTAATTTGAAGTCAAAGAATCTGGATTCAGATCTTCTCTCTGCTATTTATTTAGGTGCATGACCTTGGGCAAGTCCCTTCCCCATGTATGGTACAGTGGAAGGAACAGTCAATTGACCTGGGTTCAAATCCCACTTCTGACACTCTATGACCTTAGTTAAGTCAGCCTCTCTGGGCCTTAGCTTTCTCATCTCTAAAAATTAAGAAATTAGACTAAATGACCTCTGAGGTCCCTTCCTGCTTTGGAATGAGGATCCTATGACTGGACAGTGTTTTCTAGGGCCTCTTCTACCTCTAACTTCTACAATCACGGCATTTTCCCCATCTGAGACTCAGTCTCTCCATCTGTATAATAATAGACCTTTAAGACATAAAATATTTTCCTCACAATAGGCACATGAGGTGGGCAATGCAAGTGTCATTATCTCAGTTTTGCAAATAAGGAAACCAAGGTTTTAAGCGACCCAGGTTGATAGAGCTAGTAAAAGTTGGAGCCAGGGCTTGAACTTGGGTTTTCTAACTTTCTTTCCATCAGACCATGCTATGCTGCCTCTGCAAAATGGGGCTAATAATCCTTCTATTCTCTTCCTCACATGACAGTTATGAGAAAAAATAAATAAATTTTGTAAATCCTAAAGCAATACAGAAAGAGGTGGCATTGCTGCATTTTAGCTCCAGTGGTGGTGGCGGGGAGAGGATAAAACTGGCCCCCAAGTTCATCCACTGGCTCTGGGCAAGCAAGTGGCCTCAGTTCAGTCTGGCCAAGCTAGGCCTGCTAACCATTAAGTTCAGAGCCTGGGAACTCAGAACAGCCTGGGTCTGGGAGACCTCACTGACACCACTTTCCCTTGAGGGAGGAAGAAAGTTTCAGCCACCAAAACTTTTCTTCTACCCCTCTCTGGAGATCCTCAACCAATTAGGCCTTAATGAGCTGGACTTGGTCTGGAGCTAAGCTCCCAGGAGTCTCTGGGCTTGTGCCGGCCGCAAGGGCCCAATTACCATTGTGGGAGCCAGCAACCAGAGACTGGAGTGATGCACGGTCACACCTGTGGCCTGGCCCTTCAGAGCTAGCCCATCCCCTGACACCCTGCCTGGCCCCAGCTGCTTGACCAACTTTTAATTGATGGAAACGGCTATTTTTCCGACTTGATGATATGACCCAGTGGGCCCTGGTTCCTCAGTAGCACCAGGGTTCCCCAGTAGCACCAGGGTTCCCCAGTAGAGGCCTCCCCTAAGGAGCCAGTGTTGTTTTTCAAAGTTCAACTTAGCAGCAATTTAGGTTGTTGGGCCATCCAATTAAATCAATCACAATACACAAAACATCAGATCTGAAAGGGACCTTAGAAACCATCTTAATCATAGAATCAACAGAATTACAGCTGAAGGGAAACAGAAAACAGACCAGTCCAATACCTTCATTTTACAGAAGAGGAAACTGAGACTCAAGAGAGGGAAACTGACTTTTTACATAGTCACACAGGTGTTAAGTGGCAGCTGCAGGGAGGATTCAAACCCAAGTCCTCTGACTCTATATCCAGTGTCTTCCAATGACACCTCATAAATAAGGAAAGTACTTGCCTAAAGCAATAAACATTGACTAAGTGCCAGTTATAAGCAGGATCCCTGTGCCTAACAATGAGATACAGGGAAATCACACAAAATCTATATAAGATAAATTATCACAATACAGAGCACTACATGAGAAGTGCATCAGAGAAGCACAAATAAAGTACTATGTGAGGTCTGAGGTGCAAGTTCCTCCCCAACCTGACAGGACCAAGGCAGGCTTTCTTGAGGAAACAGCATTTGTGGTGGCTAGAAATTCAACATGCATGGAGAAGTGGGGTAGGAAATCCAGGAACAGGGAAACATTTGAACTAAGACTTAGCAATGTATATTCGAGGGAAGAGACACTTTTCTGGTTTGAATAAAGCATAGTGTGCATGGGGGAGCATAATATGAGATAAGCCTGGAAAAGTAGGCCAATACCAGGTTGTGTAAGGGCTTTGAATGTTAGGCTTGAACTTTATTGAGAGACAATAGGGAGTCACTGATAGCGATGAGCAAAAGAGGGATGTGACCAAAATTATGGGTAAGAAAGATTATTCTGGCAGGAGTTATGGAGGAGGAGAGAGCAAAGGAATGAAGGAACTCAGAAGAGCCTGTGCCCCAGGCCGTAGTAATCAGGATCTGTCTTAAGGTAATGGCCTAAAT